ACCCGCTGCTCCGTGGGAGAACGACGAGGCTTTCTGGTCCTGTAGAGAGTCTCAGAAGCCCACCGGGGCAGGTCTACCCTGTTTGGTTTTGCATCAGATCGAGGAGTGGAGGATGATTCCAGAGCACTGAGAACGGTGGCTTCGCCACGTGGACACGTATATTTGGGGGTGGGGGCAGGTTGGGGACACAGTCCAGTCCGTGGCAGGCCACACAGATTGGAACAGCTCAGTAGCCTGGTCCCAGCTCACGGTGCTCTGCGCAGAGGCCCACGTGGACATGGTGGCAGCAGGGAGCTGGTCTGAACACCACCATGAGCTGCGAGAGCAGGATGCATTCCCGAAGGAGCCGTGGGCTCCATGGAGCGGACTGACGTAGCGACCCCCGCGCAGCAGATGGGCACGCAACTGTCCCTCCATCGGGCCGTCCTCCAGGGCGATCCACAGGGTTTCCATGGATTCTGAGCAGGAGTCACCGGGCCTTCTTCTGACTCTTTGTCTGGAAGCTCTGCTGACCAGGTGAGCCCCAGGTGTTCACCACCAGGTGTTCACCAGGTGACTCTGCTGGCGTTTGAAACACTGATGGCAGAGCTCCCAGCCTCGCAGGGACAGGCAGGCCACCGCGGGACTGGGTGGTGAGAACGGAACGGAGGGGGCCACACCGCTTCAGGGAGGGACAGCACACCGGTCAGGCACTTTCAGCAGGTGACCCCAGTGATGCCCTCATCCTCAGAACGTGTGAGCGTATGGGGTTTACAGGCTCTCAGCGTCACCATAGCCACCATCAGGTGCCGTGGGGATGCAGGGCCCATGTCCTCTCGGGTCACTGACCCAGCGCGCATCATGCTCTTGCATTTCAGGGGCACCTGGCCGACTCCTAGCTGCTTTGTAGGCAGGCTGGCTTCGGATCAGTCTGCTTTTACTAGGGGAGCCCACTTCGTGGAGCTGGCCCGTTGCTGGGGTGTCAAGAATGCCCACTGGGGCTGATTTCCAGCTGTCTGGGTGCCGCCCGCTGGCAGCCCATCACTGCCCGGGGGCTCGCCTAATGTCGGGGCATATTGGTGAACGAAGGGAAACTGTCTTCTTTCAGCCTAAAAAAAAAAAAAAAGCATTTGGTTGTTGGCCCCAGGACCCCAAAGATGCTCCCCCTACAGGACTTGATGCAGGCAGAGCTCCCAGATCTTGGGGGTTCGGTTCCAGAGCACCGCAGACAAATATCACTGTGGAATGGAGGCCGGGCAATTTTGTTTTCCCAGATCATGCGCAGGTTTTCTCTGCCCAGTGCTGTAGTCTGTAATTCAGGAGGGAGGCTCTCTGCTCCCTCATAGAGTTACAGCGCAGAAGCCCAAATGGGGCCATTTGAGGGGGTCGCTGAGAGTTGGAAGGGGGAGTCTGTTGGGAGTGGGATCACGCTGTGGAAAAAGCTGGAATATGTGAGCGTGTCCCGAGAGGGGGCACAGCCTGTTGGGAACAGCACAGGGTGGTCGCCGACCTCCCAGGTGTCAGCAGCACGCGCTCCGTGGCGAGGCGTGCCTGCCTGCTCCGGAGGGTCCCCGGCCTACGCACTGAGCCTCCCCTCTGTTCTCTCCTTAGCGTGCTGAGGAAGGCGTCTGCCCCACTCCCCGAGAGGCTGGTCTTCCCGGGGAAAGGAAGTTGGCCCCACCTGTCCCTGGAGCCCCTCGGCGAGCTGGCCCCCGTGTCCATCGTGGGGACAGATGCCGAGGACCTCCTGAACACGGGGGAGAAGCTCTTTATATTCCGGAATCCGACGGAGCCGGAGCTCGCCCTGCACGTGCCTCCCAGGAGAAAGAAGAAGAACTTCCTGAACGCCAAGAAGGGCACGTGGGCCGCAGGCGTGGACTAGCTCGCGCGCGGGCTCCGTGGACATATGAAGACAGTTGATCCCTCCAGCGCGTGCGTGTGCGGATGCGTGAGTGCGCGCTTGCGCGTGCGGTGCATGGATAACTTGCTAGGACGCACTGCAGTTGCAGAAGACACAGGCACGGGCATGCCCCGCCCCTGCTGGCTTCGCGAGGACCCAGTGTACGCTGGGCTCAGGGAGTCCAGATGGTCCCTTTGTCATCATCTGGGCGGAGCACCTCCCCCTCCCGCCCAGCGTGCACCTCTGCCCTCCTTGAGTCTGGCCCAGTCAGAGGTGGGGGTGGGGGAGTGCTGAAGGCAAGGTTTCTGTTCTCATCTGATGTTTGTTAGCCCTCCTAGGTAACAATCAAGGAGCTCTTTCCAAGGGGGGTCTTTTTAACAAATTGTTTCGATGGCATATGTACACTTCGCATAGCGTGAAATCCGTGCGCTCCGTCCTGGTGAGATGTGTGTCATTTCTGTGTCTCCGTGTTCAATGTCTCTACTCTCTTTTCGATGGAGGTTGTGGTACGCGTTGCCCGTTCATGGTTGTTGGCTTCCTCTTTGCTTTGCTTCCTGTTGGGGTCTTGTAGACGTCTCTGTGCATGAAATCCACACTAGGTAGATCAGTAGAGGCAGTAATGGGATTGATAATTGGAATAATAATAACTGGATCAATAGCGATAGGGGCATGGCAGGGGAGGATGAGGGGAACGGGAGCTAACGACATGAGGACGAGAAGAGAATGTTCTGGAATTGGTTCAGGGAGTCCTCCTTGCTTCCTGCAAGAGCCGCTCACGTTTACTTCTGTTTTGACCGAGGGAGGGGCCGTGGTGACACTGGGCTAGGCACGGGCTTCTCACCATTTGGCTGGGGGTTCAAAACCACCAGCTGCTCCTGGGAAGAAAGATGAGGCTGTCTGTCTGCACCCATTGAGATCTGCAGTCTCAGGAACCTCGAGAGAGTTGCTCTAAGTCGGATTCGACTCTGACCTTGTGTGAGCTTTGCTGGGGTCGGCCAGAGGAGGCGCTTCTCGGGGGTCTTTGAATCCAAGGATGTGGTAATTTTACAATCGTTTGTCAATTTGAGAGGATTCAGAGTGAAGAGGTGGAGTCTAGACTGTCAACCAGGTTATACCCAATGAGGCCTCTGTGGGGGCATGGCCTTCTCCTGAGGATTCT